TACATTCTACACATTAGCCTAATCATCTTTTTGGAGATGGGTGGTGATGTCCTATAGATGTGCAATAAGATTTTAGAGTTTTCATTTTTACCTTGGGTTTCAAATGGTTTTCGAATATAATTTCACGGTTATCTCAAAACATCAGCTATCTCAAACTTTGATATTGATCCCATTTACTTTCAGATTTTTGAACAGGTTTGACTGTATCTATTTTAGTAACAATTGCAACACTGCTCATAAAAACAACTGAACAATGTATAAAACAATTGTTTTCTAGAGATTTAAACTGTTTATGCATATTAATTTCGTTATGTAATTAAATCTGAATGTTCTCCACGATCCCATGAGTAGATAATGCTTAATAATACGATCATCCAGCTTAAATAGCCGTTATTACATAAAAAGACAGGTATGTGCATTTTAAATGAATAATAAATCCGTCTATGTTTCCTCCTTTTTTCACTTTTTTGAACCTTAAAAATTGTAAGTTTGCTTTAAACAGTCCTATAGTATATTTGTCACAACGAGTATACTGGATGGACATCTTCTGTTAGCTATATATATTTCTTTTACTAGAATTTCTCTTACAAATACTTAAGTTCTGACAAGAAGGATCGGTGTTAAAAAGTAAGTTAGAGGTATATGCGAAATTAATTTTGAAATTTTTCAATGCAAGTCATAATTCTGACATTAGAAACAAGTTAGAAGAATGTGAAGCAAAAAAGGTATGCCAACAAACTGGTGCTTTAAAAGTTATCACTTTTTTCATAGTTACTTTGAATTTGTTCAATTCTACCAGTAAACAAGAGTAAATTTATAATCATCATGTGTTCACTTTGTACTTTTTCATTTTAATGAAATATGATGACCCTATTTTTTGGCTACAATACAAGGGCAATTGATATTGGTCCCTGAAATCTCAAGGTAAATAGTAACTGATGAAGGAACATATTAGTTGAGAATTATCTGAATAGGCTGAAATGCGTGTTTTATCGTATAAAAGTGGCGTTTTGTGATCTAGAATCACTTTGAGTATGGAGTCTCGAAAAGGATGCTCTTAATTATATTTAATCAGATACTACTGCATACATGTATTTGTGTCACATTCTCTTCCAATTTAACTTTGAGATTTATAATCTGAACTACTGTTGATTTTTGCAAAGTCATGGATAAATGAATTTGATTGGCGTCTGCAGTTACAATGTCCGTGAATTCTACTAGAATAAGTCAACTTAAAATAAAGGACAATAACATCCTCAACTTGACCGTCAAGGTAGCTCAAACGGTAGAGCGCTCGCTCCGTGATCGGAAGGTCGTGTGTTTGAATCACGGCCGCGACTGACCTAAGTTGATAAATAATAGGTAGCAACTGTTCCTTCTCCAAGCGCTCGGCACTTTGAAGTGAAAGTTGCGGGTCTTTCGGATGAGACCTTAAAAACCGAGGCCCCTTGTCACGGTAGATGTTGGCACAATAAAGAACCCTTACTGCTCAATGGCCTTGAGTGCCGAGTAAAGGTCTAAATTTGCTAGCCCTTCACAGGTTTATGTTAAGGTCTCTATATGAGTGAAAAATTCTCGAACGGGAGGCAAAACAACACACAATCAACCAATAAGTCAATAATTAACTTGATATAGGATTCCTAATCTTAAAACGGATATCATCTTATTCTCACCTTAAAAAGTTTTCGTTAAGCTGTTTATTTTAAGAATCGACTACGTTTTCCAATAGATAAAGTGTATTTTCCCGCGTAAACCTCTTTTGTTTTATGAACAGTGTTCATGTAGAGGGAAAAAAACACACTGCCCATAAATATGTGTACAGTGCAACAAACAAGATGAACAAATTACGCATACTTCTCAAGAGCACATTTATGATCAGATTAAGATATTGCATGTATAAACAAAATTACTTCCTCACATACAGATTATCAATTTAACAAAGAAATAGTGTTCTCATTTGTGGTACATATACGTATAAGAGTCATAAAACGTGTAAACAGTGTAAACAGATTATTGACGAACGATTAGATTTACTGTATGTTTCTTACAAATATTTGTGTCGTTGTTACATTGTCATAATAATTTATTTAAGTTAAGTATTCTCCACATTTTCTAAGGGTGTTAGGGATAGCGGAGTGCAAAGGGCTTAAAAATTAATAAGATGATAGAATTCCTGGTAAAAAACACCAAAGAAAAATTTCAGATGAACAAATTAAAATACAAGAATTAAATGAGAAAAAGAAGAAGAAAACAAAAATTATGCTTATTACGTATTCTTTAAGTATATCATGCAGCTAAATGTAATGAGGAAACTCTCTACACAACAAAATATTTAAATATGTCAAGTGCCATTTAAAAAATTAAAATATTGTTCAAAGATATAACTCTGTTCCAGATAAGGTTAAAACCTTTAATTTAAGTTAATTTTAAAACTTTTCACCTATTGTGAAAAAAGCATATATCGTATGACCGCGGAAAAACAACAATAGACACTTGATATGACTATAGTTGCAATATGTTTTTCTATCAAGAGAAAAGCTTACAATTGGAGAAATATCAATGATGTTTAATTCCTTTATCAAATCCTCACTGAATTCAAATGTATTTTGCTCCAACTGATAATTAGTTCGATTTTTTAAAGATTTTCTCAAGCCTATAATAATTTGCCTCATTGTGAGGAAGAAATGGAACTTTTTCCAATCGTCAACAGCGACAAAATTGAAAGTAGACATATATTAATATAATTGCTAAACTGAGGGAAATTTGGATGTCAAAAAAATTGCTCCCCATAACTGTTGAATGAAAAAACGACATGTGATACAACCACTACTGGTGGAAAGCGAACACTTCACGGATAAGTAGAATCAAAAAAGGTAGCTAGTCCTTTGTAGGAAATATAAAAAATCCAAAACCTGCGCAATATATGCATTAGTGTATATAATCTTCATTCTTTATCATTTTTTTGTAATTCATACTACGGGAAATAATCTAGCATGTTGTAAAACCATTAAGTCGGAACAAATATTAAACAATGAGTTACAATGAATTTGCTGCAAAGAATGTTTTGCTGAAATTAAAACCCTTGAGACAGACAAAGGAGACAAAAAATGCTTGATTTAATATAAAAAGTGCGACATTGCCCTCTTAACCTTTTTTCATACCGGTGGTTAATGAAAAAAAAACCCTCTTCCTTTTATCAAGACTCCAATGTTTTATATATAATCTTTTATTGACAATTTCAACTGCTTTCTCTGAGTTAATTTGTTGAAAGGTAAGTGTGTTGATTTCTCGATATTTACAACTGAATAACTGAATATCTGAATAATTTCACAAATGAATAATTTTACAACTGAATAAAGTCAAAGGTCAAGTGCCTAATATGCATGTCAATTTTCTACGGCTGTCATTGAGTCTGACATTAGTGTGAACATTTTAACAGGGTGAATTCTAAGCTAACTTAATCAAAAGTTGTTGGAGGCTGGCACAGATCAAGCACATGAGAATTATCTGTTACTTATGATAATGAAGTCTGTTCGTTTGTTTATTTGTTTGCTTAACGTCCATTCGAGATTTTTTCACTCATGTTGAGACGCAACCTTTTACAGGTGGACTGCAAATTTAGACCTGTACTCGAAATTACGGCCTTTGAACAGTAAAGGATCTTTTTCTTGCCAGCACCTGTGGAGCACGGACCCTCGGTTTATACAATCTCATCCGATGACCAATCTTCGAGTCATGCAATGGATTCGCAAAGTAAAGATCAACTCCTTACTCCGCCACTCTAGAGCAAATCCTCTAACCATGCTGGCTCAAGAAAGACATCAACTACAAAGACACTGTTTCACAAAATTCACCAAAGAAACTGGGCTGAAAACTAGACAAAAGCATTAATTAGACTTTTTTACTAACGTCAGGATGAAACTCTGTAATTCAGTTAACTGAAATGAGACTGAACTATTTGCTGAAAGGTGACTGAATGGCAAATCTCTGCCATTCAGTCGCCTTTCGAGACCTTCAGTGACCGTTCACTTAATTGAAAGATGCAGTTTTATCCTGTGAACGCAGTTAATCTCTTTTTGCTATTGGTTCATTTTGATATTATTGTTAATGTATGGTAAAAGAGAAATGTTTGGATTAATTCGAAATCAGTTCATTGATATGTGTGTCATGCAATTAGTTGCCGCTAATAATCTATTTTCTCATATGTTTTCTCTTTCAATATTTGGGGACTGGAGCAGCGGATTTGGTCATCTTAGTACTTTATCATTAGATTATCATTTTTAACATCTAAGTTATACATATTTCCTCAGTTTGTAATTATTTAGTTTGTTTCTAACGAGTTAAGTAAAATCACAAATACCAAAAGCAGATATGGTCAATTATAAAGTTTGAATAAAAATAAATCTGAAATTTACCTTTCGAAGCCCTAAATATAGGGTAAAGATTCTCCTTTCTTTTCAAATCAGTATATGACTTAACGCTTCAAAAATTCTATTATTATTTTTAGCAATAGCTATATATAAACATAGCTGGCTTCTTCTAGAGATTTAAACCTTAAATGAAATTTGACGCCATTACGTAATTGGGACAGAATATTCTCCAAGATCCAAGGAGAAAATATTTAACGTACGATTAGTCAGCTTAGATAGCCATCACTGCGTAAGGAGACAGGTATGTGCACATTTATCCATTATAAATCCATCCTGAATTACCCCCCTCTCTCTCTACTCTCCAGAATCTAAAAACATAACAGATTATTTGTAAACATAAAGTATTGTCTTCCTAAATTGGAGGGAATCTTTGCTAAAATTCATCTTATTCTGTAGAACAAAAAATCTTTCAGGCGAAAACATGCCATTTCATTCACTAAAGTCCAAAAATTGTATCAATTAAGGGTTTTTAAAATCAGTAACTCCCCAAACGAAAAACTGTAGTAGATAAGCAGGTGACACTATAATCTTAATTACATGTCATGATGAGCACATTAATCAAAGAAGAAGGTATGGTTTTAGCTTTATTGTGCCCTAAAAATTTAATGTTTTCAAAACGTTTTGAAACTGGCTTAAATATTAGTTGAGTATATGACTGTAACAAATCAGGAAAGAATATAGCATGATGGAGTACCATTCTGGATATATGACGTCATTAATTTGATGCATTTCTCTATTTCAAACAGAAAAAGCCTCAAAATGGCACATTTCAAGGGTTAATTTCCTTAAGAAAATAGTGTCCACAACCGTCGCCCACGTTAATTTTTAGATATATTGTGTAAAATTCTTTGAAAAATCACATATCTCAAAATCTTTGTGGGCGATGCCTGTGGACAATATTATCTATAAGAAAATTCCATTGAAAATTGATGTCTTCTGCAACTTTTTAAGAAAATACGGGAAAATGCACAAGTTTATGACGTCACAATTAGCATTTGGAAGGTCTTGTGAGAAAAAAGATTTGTATGATCTTTCTGCATGGAATTTCAATAATTCAAAAAGCATGAGTTTTAATTTTTTACATCACTTTTATTTTTAAGAAAACACAGGGCAAGATTTGTATTGAAACCGTACCTTGTTCTTTTATTTTTTTTTTATCTGGTGTTTTTCCTAATGATTTCGACAAATAGAAAATCGTCATTGCTTTTTTTGTTAATCTTTGTATCATGATGTTAATTCTGGATTTCATTCAAGAATAAGTAACAAACAATTGCTCCAGATAAAATCTGAATGAAAATAACGTGACAAAAAGATTTTACTCTGGAAATTCCATCATGATTATGAAAACTTCTTTTTTTGTACGTAGATAATGAACATTCTATCTACAATTTAATTTCATTTGTGTCTTTCTTGTTTAACTAGTCATGGTAGTCTAGTGGTAGGGCGTTTGCTTCGTGTTCGGTTCGATTCTCGTTTGGCGCTCCAAGTCAAACCTTAGGTGTAAACATAGGTAGTGACTGTTCCTTTGCCAAGCGCCTAGCACTAGAAGCATTATATATACTTTAAGACTCCTTGAATCTTACACTCTAATAGCCATCTCCTGCCGTCATATGTCTGTTTTTATTGATTGCCAAAGAAGATACGGTATTGGTTTTTCAAGTCCTGAAAATGTGTTAAATCATGTGATAAATCATGACAGAATTTTGCATAAACGAGGACTGCTCTGGAAATATGACGTCATTAAGAACAAGGTACAGTTTCAATACAAATCTGGCCCTGTATTTTTCTAAAATATTGAAATAATGTAAGAATCAAAATTCATCCTTTCTTAATCATAGGAATTTCATGCAGTAAAACTATACAAATCGTTTTTCTCATATGACCTGCCAAATGCTAATCGTGACGTCATGAACTTGTGCATTTTCCAATATTTTCTTAAAAATTTGCAGAAGACATCAATTTTCAGTGGAATTTTCTTTCAGATAATGCATTGCCCACAAAGATTTTGAGAAAATTTGATTTTTAAAGGATTTTTAACAACATATTTGAAATTTGAAATGGGTGATGGCTGTGAACACTGTTTTCTTAAGGGAAAAAACCTCTAAAATGAGTCATTTTGAGGCTTTTTTGTTAAAAACTTAGAAATATACCAAACTAATGACTTCATATTTCCAGAATGGTCCTTCTTTATGCCGTGTTCTTTCATGGTTTATCACCTTCATATACTCAACTTTTATTTAAGCCGATTTTATAACTTTTTTGAAAACATTAAATTTCCGAAGATGATTTGTAAAAATCATTGAGAAATCGAATTTCTTAATTTTTTGTGTGCGATGCATGTGGTCTATATTGTCTGAAAGAAAATTTCACTGAAAATTGATGTTATCTGCAATTTTTTAACAAATAACTGGAAAATGCTATGGAAAGTTTATGACTTCTTAATGGGCATTTAGGAGGTCATATAAGAAAAACAATTTTATGGTGTTACTGCATGAAATTTGAAAAAACTGAGAAAGGATTAGTTTTATTTTCCACAATAATTTCATAATTTGAAAATAATACAGGGCCATATTTCTATTAAAATCATACCTTCTTCATTCCTTTATTATATACTTCCCTCTAAAACTTAGGAAGTGTATCAATGATTAAATAATTTGTGCCTCCCAAACATGAAGATTGTAAGATATAAACTTATAAATAAGACGTTTTGAACTCGTTTGCATAACATAATAAATAGTATATCTTTATTGAAAACCAATATGCTTACTTTGGAACAATTAATTACAGAGTGCTTACATTTAAAAAAATCTGGGGCAAAAGTAGTTTTGAACCTTTGCCACCCCCACCCTACTGCCACACCTCAACAATAATTAAAATCAATTCTGTATCCTATTTCTATACCAAGGCCTCCCCATCATAAAGATATTAAGATTTGATATTTATTCAATATCAAATACCACAAGGTCCTAGTGATAAAAAAAAACAACAAATATTTAAATGTGAAAATCTTGCGTCAACAAAATAGTATAATTATATACATTTGAAACATTTATAACGTCAATAAATGTCACTTTCAAATTTCGATACTATATGAAACAACAGATAGAGGTAAAGTCAATAAGAATAAGTCATGACTGTATACATGGTTTATTTTTCTTCTCTTTGAGTACATTCTACTATAACAAAATATATGTTAATCTACCCACAGTTAAGACGCAATAGAATGCAATAATTCCTTTGTATTATGTCCAGGTAAACATGACTGATTCATCAGTTGTAAAAAGGAAAAAGATCTTTAGGTGTACATATATTGACATGAAAATTCTCCAAGGTTAGTTAAAGGATATTACTTACCATTAAGATTTTAACAATAAATATCCTAGAGTCTTCCATTCTTAATCTAAAAAGAGGTATTCAACTCTTAGCATTAGCTTTACTTATATTATTAAGGGCTTATTCATTTTGTTGTCAACAAACGGTATTTTTTAATAATCGTTTTCCTTTTTCTTCTGTTTTCATGAGAATGAATTGCAAATTTTATGTGTTATAGAAATATAAAACACTTGACATTATTTTATATCAACAAGTTTACATACACTACATAAGATTTACAAAAACAAAAGCTATTGGAATTTGAAGTTCCTCCTTTTCCCTCTGTCTTTCTCAGTTGGTGTTATCCCTTCAATGAAATTAAGCAGAGAAAAAACAACAGCCAGATCATTGTATTTAAGGAATTACATTATAAATCTTCATGAATCTTATTTCTTAAAAAAGAATGTAAAGTTTAACTAGATGTACAAATGTCATATGCATGTCATTCTTTTTAGTGCAACGTAACAACTATGTATTGAAATTATATTCTGTTCATATTGAAAAATTTACATTTTCTATGCTTTTTTACCACGCCAACTTTGAAATGCCATTTTCGTGTATATGAAAGCGAAGCGTTTTTTCGAAGGAAATGTAAAAAAAAAATATTACGATATAGGGCAGCAAAAACCAAAAATTGGAAATATTATTTTAGGCTTATAGCTTTAAGGACATACGCAACGTAATTTTAATTGTGTTGTCTTTTCCCCCTGGAGTTGAAGAGTTCCAATACTTAAAGAAACTGTGTGCTACATTTTAATGTCTATATATGCTGTTGTACACTTCTTCTAAAACAAGTTTTGATAAACAAAACGTCCAGAATATATGTTTAGTAATTTTTGTATATTTTTCTTTAAATCATACAAGAATTTTCATCAAATGGTATCTTTTCAAAACCCCTGGTAATGCATGCTGATTTTTTGTCTGTGTATATCTGATGGCACTATAATCTTAAATCCAGAATATCTTGAAAAATTATCAGTAGGTAAGGTACGTTGCGTATATCCTTAAAAATGTAAATATAACGAATGCGGTGAGTTTGTGAATGTTATTGGTGTGTAAATCACACGGGCGTGCACGTAGCCATATTTTTTCATGAAGTGCTAGCGCACTTCATCAAATATCCATACGTGACAAGTCAGTATGATTTATACACTCTAATAACACTCACAAAACTAAAAAAAAATCCTTCTATGTAAATCATAAACGGTACCAATTTTGATGCACCAGATGCGCATTTCGACAAATTATATCTCTTCAGTGATTCCCATGCCGAGAGGTTGGAAATCCAAAATATTTAAATGAAAATGATTTTGAAGAGCTGAAAAAAGTGCCAAAGACTGGAGCCAAATACGTCGAAGGATCAGAGCTATACAAGAGAGTGATAATCCTTAATTTTGAAATAAATTTCTAAAAATTTTACCACAGCAATTGAAGATATGTCCGTATTTTTAAACTAGTACTGAAGTACTTAGCTACTGGGCTATAGAGACCCTCGGGGACTAACAGTCCACTAGCAGTGGCCTTATTTTTATCAAACACTTAGAATCATTAAAATTGACTGTGTCTTCACAAAATACTCCAAACTGAAAAAAGAAAAGTGTAATTGTTTAAAGACATTATTAAATAAAATCAAAACAAGTACATGTTGTTTCCCTAACTGTTCATCACAACGCAAGGCCCTAATTATAATTAGATGTTAATTAAAATATTTGTAAAGGAAGGTTATTGCTCTCACAAGAAGTATAAGAAGGAGATTGCTGCTAAAATTCTAATATCATAACAATGAATAGCGATTATGATTCAATAACCCAAATTTCTCCATTGAATAGTTTACAGAATTTGATATATAATCACTCGACATCTTGAATATTTTTCTTTAACTTAAAGTTCGAAAAAAATGGTCTTTTTCCTCGTTATAAAATATACTGTAGAGTAATACGAGGCATAGATCAACAAATGGAATACATGTTTTTATACAGTTTTAAATCTCCATTAAGGTACATTTAAATGAGTCATTGACAGGTGTGTATGCACTTCTCAATGTTTCCTTTTGGAGATACAATTTTTCTAAAGCGATTAAGTTGAATTGCATATGACCACAACCGAATTACAATACTGATATAAGTTTAGTTGGAAAGTTCAATTTTTAAATATTCGAATTGCGAGTCCTTTCACTTTAATATAATGAAATATATGGAGATAACGAACAGTATTCAAGCTCAAAAGTCCATTACACAATACAAAATAGGAGCAGAGCAAACACGGACCTCCAAAACAACAGAGGTGGGTTCAGGTGCCATGGAGGAGTGAGCATCCCCTGCCGACCGGTCACATCCGCCGTGTGTTCCTTGTCCTAATCGGGAAATAACGGAAAGATCCGTCGACAATTCAGACAATTCAGATTTAATATAAAGTAATTCAAAACTGGTGTGTATGGAATCAGCACAAAAAGTTCGATACAACAGCTGAGAATATTATTTAACTTCTTGAAAATGTTTCTAAATTAGTCATGATACTTTACTACTGTCATCTTAATTCAAAATACTAGACTTAAAATTGGAATACATACTTTTCTTTACCTGATTTTGTTTTTATAGTGTTTCTTTGAGAAACATTTTAAAGCAA